TTCAATTCACTTAAACCCTCGCGGGTGTCAACACCTTCAATTCACTTAAACCCTCGCGGGGGTCAACACCTTCAATTCACTTAAACCCTCGCGGGGGTCAACACCTTCAATTCACTTAAACCCTCGCGGGGGTCAACACCTTCAATTCACTTAAACCCTCGCGGGGGTCAACACCCTCAATTCACTTAAACCCTCGCGGGGGTCAACACCTTCAATTCACTTAAACCCTCGCGGGGGTCAACACCTTCAATTCACTTAAACCCTCGCGGGGGTCAACACCTTCAACTCGCTTGAACCCTCGCGGGGGTTCAAACCGTCCAATTCACCTTAAACCCTCGCGGGGGGGTACACCTCAATCATTAAAACCCTCGCGGGGAGTCACACTTCAATTCACTTAAACACCTCGCGGGGGTAAACACCAAATTCACTTAAACCATCGCGGGGGGTCAACACCTTCAATACTTAAACCCTCGCGGGTCAACACCTTCAATTCAACTTAAACCCTCGCGGGGGTTTCAAACTTCAATCACTTAAACCATTCGCGGGGGTCAACACCTGCAATTCACAAAACCCTCGCGGGGGTCAACACCTTCAATTCACTTAAGCCCTCGCGGGGGTCAACACCTTCAATTCACTTAAGCCCTCGCGGGGGTCAACACCTTCAATTCACTTAAACCCTCGCGGGGGTCAACACCTTCAATTCACTTAAACTCGCGGGGGGGCAACAACCTTCAATTCACTTACACCCTCGCGGGGGGTGAAACCCTTCAATTCACTTAAACCCTCGCGGGGGGTGAAACCCTTCAATTCACTTAAACCCTCGCGGGGGGTGAAACCCTTCACTTGACTTAAACCCTCGCGGGGGGTGAAACCCTTCAATTCACTTAAACCCTCGCGGGTGGTGAAACCCTTCAATTCACTTAAACCCTCGCGGGGGGTGAAACCCTTCAATTCACTTAAACCCTCGCGGGGGGTGAAACCCTTCAATTCACTTAAACCCTCGCGGGGGGTGAAACCCTTCAATTCACTTAAACCCTCGCGGGGGGTGAAACCCTTCAATTCACTTAAACCCTCGCGGGGGGTGAAACCCTTCACTTGACTTAAACCCTCGCGGGGGGTGAAACCCTTCAATTCACTTAAACCCTCGCGGGGGGTGAAACCCTTCAATTCACTTAAACCCTCGCGGGGGGTGAAACCCTTCAATTCACTTAAACCCTCGCGGGGGGTGAAACCCTTCAATTCACTTAAACCCTCGCGGGGCTCGCGGGACTGGCGCTGCCTCGGCCCACCGAGCCGGGGCCGCTGCTGCCGAGTCTGAGAGCGCCAGCGTCTGAAGGCGATCTGGATAGGGGGAGATCGCTGTACCCTTGGAAATAAGCAGACCATTCTTGCTTTAGATTTTTTATAAGGCCACCCTCAACCTAGATCGAAGCTCTGCGTTTTCAAAACGACGCCCCTCGGAGGCCGCCCGAGACCTCAGCCTGGCCAGAGGCTCAAAATGCTCAAAGCGACTCGAACTCCAGTCACTTCTAGCTGTGTACCGGCAGAGTTTCAAAACAAAAAACACCCCAATCCTTAAATCCCAACGCCTCCAACGCATGATCTTTCAGCCAGACGGCAGTGGTGGAGCTCTTGCCAACAGGACCATCTGGAGAGCCCAAGAGAAATCATCATGGACTTATGCCTTCAACGACCGTCTGAAGCTCAGAGAGCATTGCTTCGGGTTCCGGGTTGGGGGTTTCGACTCGAGCACTCGCACGAAGGCAGGCACGGATTCATGAGGTCGAGCTTGCTACTGTGACATGTGTCTCACTGTGTCTCGGGTTTGCGGCTTAAGGTTTCAGGTTACATCCCCACTTAGGGTTTTAATCATGCCCACCGTCAACAAGCCTGTAATTCTAGCCGGCCGTGCTGTAGGCGAGCTATCCAGATGGAGCTCGAAAACTTCGGGCTTTGTAGCCCGCACCGGATGGTGTCAGAGACTGACACCGATTCCACGAGGATGAGATCAGGCATTCTGTCGCCTCAGCACTAACACGCAAAACATCGACATGGAAGCTTGTCAATACAGACGGCAGTTCAGGACTCTGGCGGTAAATGGGAACAGAAAAGGTCCTAAATATTCTCTAAATATTGGGGTCGCGATTGAGGATTCAGCACAAATTAGGGGCCCTAGATTGCACCATAAACCGTCATAAGGAGGGTCGGGGCTCAGGGCGGCCTTGTGACGCAGTTGTTCGCTTTTGGAACCTGCTGACTTCCGTACTTGCTTACAGATCCCATAGCCGCTACCTCCCATCAATCTCTCTTAGGTGGGCTCGCCACGGCTTATGTTCTAGCGCCTCAATGGCGGTCACAAGGCTTAGCAGAAGCCGATTGGCAGCCCTGAGCCTGGCACACGTCAGCCAATACACCTACACGGGCAGTTTGCTGAGAACAGCCGTGGCCGCGTCCGTGTGAGTGGTAGGTGAAGAGCGCTGACCCATTTGGGCTTCCTGCCTCTCCCGTCTCAAAGCTCAACAAAACGTGGCATCTTGGATCATCAGCCATGCAAAGTTGTGGTGCCTGACCTTCCAGAGTGCGTTTAGCCACTTGGGCTCACATGAGTAGTGCCATGCCTAGCGCTTTCAGCTTCTCTGGGAGTTCATATAGCTGGTACCACATGAGGTGACATCCGACGATGCAGCGGATGATCTCGACAAGATTCAATGCAACAAGCATTCGCGGACCTTGGCTTCCAGATCGACAGTCGGATGGGAGAGGAGCCACGTGCCAAAGGTGCATGGCTTAGCGCAGCAAGATGTGGTTGTGATATTTAGTGCCTGTTAGGAAACGTTCTAGTGCAGCAAGGGCATGATGCAGCCACCGGCCCCAATGTGTCATGATGTCTCATGCCACAGTGGTTAAGGTGGCTGCTTGTCATCTGGTGTGGGCTCTGGAGAATGAAAAGCTGCGAGCCCTGCAGAGAGACGTCAACAGTGATGCAGATGATGCAGCCAAGCATTGTCACAATGAAGCTTGTACAGTAGCGCATCTGTCACGTACCTTTCCGAAACGCTTCGTTTTGATTCTCGCTGCGTCTGTCCTTCCATCCATGCAAGTACGACTCTGCACTACGCCGGGATATGTGGGGCAGTGCCTCGCCCATCTGCACCGGGTCATACTCCATGCCAGCTGCAGCCAAGCCATTCCACTTCTCGCGTGCTTGTTCAAGTTCAGCGGCCGTGATAGAAGGAATCTGTTCTTTGACTGCAACCGCTTTGCTCATGAAAATGCTTGCTTCTTCTGCATTTCCTAGCTCGTGCAGAACTCCAGCCAACTGTTCACAAGTCTCTGCAGTAGCTGCGTGAATAAAACCACATGTTCGTTCACGCGCATGCAGTGCTTTCCGGAAATACGACAGCGCAGCAGAGGGGTCCTGACACAACCTGAAGAGAAGGCCAAACTGATGCATCGTTTCTCCCACCTCCTTGCTTACGATGCCAAACACCTCTTCCCGAATGCAGCATGAGCAGTCAAGCCAGTATCTGCTTCTGGAAAACTCTCGCAGGTCCATATGCACAGATGCCAGAGTTTGCATGAGCAGGGCCAGTTTCGGAGCATGACATCCTCTGATGTCCACGCCAGTGTCTTCTATGCACACTTCTTCCTCATTCAACAATCCCAAAGCTGTGGAGATGCCCTCTCCGTCCTCCCGACCAACTTGTTTTGTTGGCAAGAGCTTGGATTTCACTTTCGTGAATACCCTCAGAGCCAGGCTTTGCCTTGTTTCTGTTTGTGTGCTTTCCTTCGCAGCCTCAGCCTGTCCCCGTCCTCGCTTTGCCTGAACTCGCTTGGTCCTTTCGGAAATCCTCGGCACATCCTGCTCTTCGTCAGAGTCTGCAAGCCTGGCTTGGACATCGGCATCGTTCAAGAACGAAAACACTTTTAACGCCTCAGTCAGTGCAGCCAGCGCTTGCTCAGATTCCTGTTTGCGCACCAGGACCAAGCCCACCTGATACAATGTGTCTGCGGAAAGTGCGTGCATCTTGCCGAGGGCCTTCTCTCTGTCTCTGTACGCAGTTTTCAAACATCCCATAGCCGTGTCAAGGTCCCCGACGTTTGCTAAGGCGACTCCAAGTGCCGCACGGCTCGAGGCGGCCTGCGCGCTGTGCTTTCCGACAAGCTTCTCTCGCAGGGCAAGAGAAGCTTGCAAGTAGAGCTTTGCTTCCGAGGGCATAGCCAACAGCAAATGTGCTTGTCCGAGCTGATGCAAAGAAGCCGAATATGTCAAGCTTCTCTTGCCAAGGTGTTGTTCTCTGATGGAAGCAGCTTGTGAGAGATGGGCTAACCCCTCCTGAGCATCGTCGGCATCTCCCCTGAGCAGAAGACCAGAGCCTAGCTCGTGCAGTGTCTCGGCAAGGTGTAAGCTGCCTTCGCCGAGTTGTCTCCGACGGATCTCTGCCGCTTTTTGAAGCAGCATCAACCCTTCCTCCAAGCGTCGTGGACTTCGCACACACAGCGAGCCTAGCGCATGTGCTGAGCAAGCAATTGTGGCATCTGCGCTTGTCTGGTTGACTCGAATCAAAAGAGCTTTCTCGAAGCTTCGACGGGCCTGCTGCACATTTCCCGTGGCAAAATGGACACTGCCCAGCAATTGTGCTGTTGATGCTACCTCTTCTGATTCCACCCCGAAGAGCTCAGCACGGATGTTTAGGCACTGCTGCAAGTGCTCAGTGGCCTTGTGTAGAGCACTTGTCGTTCGCTGCTTTCTCTCACAAGCAAGTCTGAGGTGAAGAAGCCCCAAATGGAAGAGTTGCGTTGCCACGGCAGAAGACTTGTAGCCAAACAACTCTTCACTGGCTCGCATAGCCAAACTCATGGACTCCAAGGCCTCCTCATCCCTCCCAGACCTGGCACAAACACTTGCATACATATTCAGAGTTGAGAATAAGTCGGGATCAGCTGCGTCTAAAATTTCTTTCTTGTATTGTAATGAGGCCATGAGATGATCACGTGCTCGCTCCAGATCTTCACACTTGTCATGAACTTCGGCAACAATCTCGTGGCTGCGTGCGATGTGCAGCTCTAGCTGCTGTCTCGCACCTACGTCACATAAAACACTGTCAAGAGCTGGCATGGTGCTCAGGATCGTTTGCTGCCGTCGGAGGCGCTCTTTGAATGCACATAGTGCGAAATGATAATTTACGAGCACCGGGTTGTCCTGCTTCTTGCTGTCCATGCGCTGGCGGTCGTGCACGATTTGAAATCTGTTCGCCTTGACCAAGAAGGCATATCCTGCCAACTGGAGAACGGTCATTGCATCCTCATGCAAGCGGCCTTGGGACTGCTCGCGCCTTTCCAACACCACACTCAGTGTGTGTAAAGCTGCCTCTGTGTCACCCAGATGTATATAGGCAGTGGCCATGTTCGTCATGATTGTGATAACGTTATCGTGCGAATCCTTCTTCTTACCAGCAGCACGCCGGACAATGCGCAACGCCTCACGGAAATTTTGAAGCGCAGACATGACATCTCCACGCTGCAAAGAGCAGCACGCAAGGTTGGAAAGGATGATGCCTTTCTGAACGGGCTCCCGGTCCATACTATTCAGTCGCACAGTCTTCGCCTTCAAAGTGGAGCTCAATTCTGGCAATGAGACCTTGCCATCGTTGGCTACACTGTCGAGCATGGAGAAGACACGACCCGGATCTCCTGGATAGTTCAAGCGCGAAAGTGCCTCAACGAACTTTTTGTGTCCCAGAGCAGATCTCCACTCACCCCTAACCAACTCGGTGTACAACATCTCTTCACTCCCATCATATCTTTCCTGGATAAACGCTTTTAGAACTGCAAGCTCCGAAGCTGCTGGTTTCTTCTTCTCAGACGTGAGCTTTAAAGCTTGGCTGAAATAGTCAAAAGCGGTGTTGTAATCGCCAAGCAAGTACATTTCAACTCCCCAGTTGTTGGTGTTCTCGGCTTCGAAAAGGGATTTGCCAATTGTTGCTTTATGCTTCTTGAAAGCAGCAATGACATCGTCATCTTGCGGGTCCAGGGTGCCGGATTTCTTGAGCTTCAACAAACTCTCCTCACCTATCTCCTGCACCACCGGGTCAGCCGACAATCCCATGTTTTGGGCTACATCCACGAAGTCGTGTGCCATCACATCAGCTAGGTCATGATAAGCAGTTTCGCCTTGACCGTTGGCATTTGCCCTTCGCCCGCTCATGTGCGTGCGGAGCCGGGACAGATATGTGTTTCTCTTGTCGGAATGAAGCCCTCCAATGCTACTAAGAGCAGAGGCCACCTTGCTCCGATTCGCACTTCGCTTGGTCCCTGGGTCAGACCGAATGAGGTATCGAGAAGTCCAGCTCTGAGGCTCGCGAGCAGAGTGCGAGCTCTGCTGACCGCCGAGGCCTCCAACGACATCGCCACCATCCGTGGTCTCTTGTTCTTGAGTCATGCTGCTCTAAGCATATGTGCGCGGCGTGGACAGACCGACATTGCGAAACTTCCTCCGCGACTCCATACGCTCCGTCACTTGGGGCTGCGCCTGGCATCACATCGCTGCAACATGGCCCATGCGCGTCATGGGCTGCTGCTATGCTGCAGGACAAGACAAATCTAACAGCTAACTGCTAGCTGATAACAGTCTCTGATGTCTCTGTCACTATTTTCTATGAAGCCGTTTCCGAAGTGGACAACACATCTGCTAACAGCATAACTTTCCAAATCCTTCCATCAGTGATGTCTCAGGGGACGGCTATGGAGGAACGATACATAAAGGGTAGCATTCCAAAATGGCTGTCTCAATGCTGGCGGTCTTGGATTTGAATGGAAGCCTGGCTTCATAGCTTCACGATCTTTCGGCCCATGAGGTGCGCGGACGCAAGCCTTCTAACCTGATGTACTGCTTTTTTGCGCAAAGCATGTTTGATGCGCGGTCGCAGACAAGGTGCAGACCTTGCCAACATCTATGTACGATATGCCCAACTTGATGTCTACCGTGGGTGATGCAAGTGGTAGTGGAGGTGGCCCATCCAACACTGGTCCTACACCATGTCGTACAATGTTGTGCTGGGGCCTTCAATCGGTAGCCACCTCCACGCATCATGTGTGTGTGCACGAAAGAGGAGCAATGGCAATGCGGGATCCTCCCTATCCCAGGGAGGATTTGCCTGCTCTTAACTCCGTCGCCTGAGGCTGACCTCGATAGTTCTTAAAGACGCTAAAAATCACTTGGTCGCCTTGACTGAAGTGCCGCTTCTGGTTCTTTTGCAAGAAAACATCCATGCCATTGAACTTCTGTTTCAGTTCATCATTGCCGATGAAGCCGTAACCTTTGTCCTGCAAACAATGCGAATTTCAGTCGTGAGAAGCCAATCAACAGTGCACACTGTACAACCGCCCGTCCTCGAACCACATCGTAATTCGCCCTTCAAATCTTCTGTCGGTGATGCCAGGCATCTGCTCCATGTCAGGTGGCCTGTAGCTGGGATGATTCGCGTCGCTGGAAGCGCCAGGCGGCAAATCGTCCACGTCGTGCAAATCGATTCCTTTGTCTTTTTTTCTCTTTTTGCCTTTCTTCTTGTCGTCGTTCTCGCCCAGCATGGACCCCATCATGGCACCCATCATCATCATCTGCATTTGCATCTGCATCTGCAGCATCATTTGCTGCTGCATTTCGTCACCCTCGCCCTCAGGGCTGCCACTCGTCGGCCCCGTGCCACCGGCAGGCCCTGCAGGACACAAACCGCCACCCATGTTGCCCAAAGGCCCAGGCCCCATGCCCCCACCGCCGGTGCAGCCGCCCATGCAAGGCATGGAGGACCCACCACACCCCATGTCCAGCCCGGGCATGCCTGGCACTTTTGGCATAAAGGACTTCGGCAAAACAGCGCCGTTTGGCCCAGATCCACAAGGCAGCGGGAGCGTGGCCTCAGCACACATGCCAGCATGACATAGCAAGACGAAGAGCGTGTTGTCACAAAATTCGGTATCAGTATCTATGGGAACAAGAAACAAAAAGATCATTGCTTGTCCTGATAAGTGGCCATGGGCAATCCAGACGATGCTGTGGGCAAAGCTGGAAACCCGGCTCCAATTGGCGGAGCGCCCTTTGCAACTGCACCCATGCTGCTAGGATTCGGCATGCCTCCCTTCATCATGCTGGTGGCTTTGGCCAGCGTGCCCGGGGCACTCGCCTTTGCAGCCACTGCAGCGCTTCCATCACTTTCACCTCGGACGAGACAGCAACCAAAGGCGAGCCTGCTTTGGTGACAAAATGGCAACACTGCACCCATTTGACTACTCAGCTTGCATCAAGAAAGCAACTGAGGTGGCAGCCTACTGCCGCATTCATTTTCGGCGGTACTGTGCCCGGAGAGGTAGTGGCTGCTGCTTGCCCTTCTGCTGTAGATGCTGGGGTTGGCGGTGTAGGTGCTGCACCAGCAGATGCAGGAGATGGACTAGAAGCTTTTTGCTTTTGCTCTAGCTCCTCGCCCTGCTCCCGCAGAGCAGTCGCCAAGCGTTCCCGCGCCCATCGCCGGGGATCGACCAAAATGGCTTGCTTACTTTCATCTCCAAGAACTTGCGGGAGTTTGTTCCTGTCTTCCTCATCTTCTCCCTCTGGTATCTTTCCAACTGGTGCACCATCCGCCTTCGTGTGGGTTTGCTCTGCATCCTGACCAGCACCATGCTTGCTCTCCTCCTGCTGCTTCTTGTGGGATGCTTCCAGAGCTTCGCGACTTCTTTTTAGGTCGGAAGTCCTCTTCTCCAGTGCCTCTGTCCATGACGACTTGCAAGTGGGGCTACTGTATACTGGGAAAGCTTCACTGCACCGTGCTTTATTCCCATTTTATTCCCGTTCCGTGGGAACCTACGACATTCAACTCAGCCCCGGCATCAAGGTCCTATCAGAGTACTTCACAAGCCAGGACTCGCCAGGCAATGAATTCACTTCATTAGTTTACTTCGACAGCTGGCAAAACTTGCACCTCTATTTGCTGAAGCAGTGTGGAGCTCGTCCGCTCCAGCGTCAACTTAACATCGGAGGGAGCTGACGACATTCCTGGCCATGGCGACTCAGCAAGCAACGTCGCTTACAATGCAAGACGTAGCATCGCACATGCCGCATTTGCAGAACTTGCACCATTTGATGCTTTGTGGAACAGATGTCCTTCAGCACGGGCTCGCTTCCAGCGTGCAGGCCACGGCCACGCCGCCAAGGCCCTAGGAAGGCAAGGGCCACCATCCGCACATTTGGATTTCGTACCGTCTGCAGAACCAAATGGCGTGTCGGATAGTCTCACCTCAATCATCTTCACGACAAGCCAGCGTTCAACGGTTCTGTGTTTTCGATTGTTCAAGTGCCAGTAGCGAGCACATCCGCCGTGCGCCTTTCGTTGCCACTGGTTGCCGTAAACATGCTGCGGCTACCCCCCAACTCCGCAAGGCCGTCGGCGGGCAGAATCTCTCTCTTCAGCACGTACGAAGATTGTTTGCCAAAAAAATGTTCGGTGAGTTGGTAAGTTTGATTCGGGAATGGAAACAAATGCCGAAAAACAGTCAGGGCAGAGGCCGTATACGTCGTTGGTGCACGCAGCAGACACAACGAAGCTGCTGGCTATATATGTCTCAAACGGTTCATGGTTGGATGGGGAGGAGCAAGAGCAGGCACGACATAGTGCCTTCGGGGACATCCGCTGCAGCTGCAGGAAGCTGTGCGTGATGCAGAACCCGATGTGATTGTGCGCAAGTGTTTGTAAGCCATTGACTGAAGTGTGCTCAGAAGGCATTCTTCCATGATGTACTTCACGACAGTGGTATATGCACAGAAGCTGTCACGGAGAGTGCCATGATCGGCAGAAGCCACATATGACGGCAAAGCCTGAAAACTGAAAACTGTTGCCCTGGCCGAAGTGAGGTCTCGAAGACCGTGGGTAGGAAAGGTGTTCTTCTCTGTGCTTTTGGGGTTTGGTTTTGGATTGGTGAGTAGGCTCAGGCCTGGTAACCTCTCGCTTTCTCGGGCTCCTTTAGGATTCAGCTTTCAGTTTGTTTCGGAATTGTCTACCAGCTGCGTTGCTGAGACGCTGTCGCCGTATGGATCCCTCTGCACGCTTGCCACCTGGTCCGAGTGATCAACAGGTTATGACCGCCCAATCATCGCATGCGACACCGCAGCAACCTGCAGGCCATATGGACGGCGAGACGTTTGATCCGAACTATGGTTCGGCTGCTCAGCCGCAAGAACGCCTAGAGGCTCCTCACCGCGACCGAACGGAACCTTTTGGAAGACCGGCGGCTGAGACAGAGTCTTCGCATTATTCTGGCGACTGCCGGGCTTCCTGAACCCCTTTTGTGGAGGCCTGGCCAGCCCAACCGGAATCCATATCCAGTATGCATGGATCGCCGCTGGCATGGATGGCGAGACTGGGAGAATTCTTTCGGTCGCAGGCACTCATCGGGCCCCTTGCTGCACGGAAGCCCGGGGTGGTGGAGGAACTGATGCTGACAGCTCTGGGAGTATCGCTTGTTCAAGAAGAAGTTCGGCGGCAAGTTCACCATGCGCCGGACACTTGGTGTACCTATCATTGATTTCCAGTAGGTGTCGGTGTACGTGGGAGCGATAGCCAGCATGCTCAGGACTCAGGATGGTCTTAGCGTGCCAGCTGGGGTGCCGTTCACCGGTCATGGCAGGTGTGCTTCTCATGGTGCCCGATTCGGTGATCGTCGTGAAGCATACGCAAATGAAGAAAGCCTAGGTTCGCATCGTGATGTTTCCTCGCCGTTGGGGCGGTCTCCTAGACAGCCTTCCTCAGTACGCAGCACGCCTTTAACGTGCGACAAGGCCCTGTATGGGTTTCGTCGCTCCCCAGACTGCAGGTTTCGGGACCGCAGATTGAAGTGTGCGTACTTTCCTTTTGTGTCAAGAAGAAGTTGGTCTTGAGAGAGAACACCGAGCCGATGAGAACGTACAGAGCCGAAGCACAAGCGCAAGCAGAGGCGCATGCGAGGCGCTTTGAAGGTCAACGCACCTAGATATACGATATAAAGAGCCAACACATATATCTAGGTGTGTTGACCTTCAAATGGCCTCGTATTCGTCTCTGCTTTCGCTTGTGCTTTGGCTCTGCTTTTGCTGACCTGTTTGTGTCCATTGCTGCTTGGTTTTCATCTAGTCATGTAAGTATTGCATAGTTGAATACAGAACTTCAACACATGTTGGATTTCCATACACGAAGGCAAGCCAAGACGTCTTGCTTGTCCTTGTATGTGGAAATCAAAGACGCTTTGTCTTCGAATATTCAATTATAGACTAGTTAACTACATGAAACCCGCGAGCAATGCACACAAACAGGTCAGCAAAAGCAGAGCCCAAGCACAAGCTCAAGCAGAGGCGAATTCGAGGCGATTTGAAGGTTAATGTTGCTTTATTCCACTTGTAAGAAAGCCAATACTTCC